CCACAAGAGTGGATTGTCCAGGGGGCACGGGGGAGGGGTGGCCAGCTCCTGCCACTACATGCACCCCAGTGGAGGCCCAGGGACCATGCGCTCCCCAGATCTGTGTGCAGGGCAGAGGTAGCTGCTGCTTCAGGCTGGACTCTGCACCCTGCTGCCCCAAGAGCCACATGACACCATGTGCCTGCTGCCACTGGGCAGGCAGGGGACAGACAGACACACAGATACAGACAACCCCCACAGCAGGTAAGTGTGTGTGGGAGGAATGGGCAGGGTTTGGGGAGAAGGAAAGAGTACAATAGGAGCCTGGTGGTGCATCCAGGGGCACGGAGGAAGGGGGTGGGGGAGGGCTTCCACTGCTGCATGCACCACGGGGGAACATGTACCCCCCTTATCTGTGTACAGGGTGAAGATGGACTGGGCTCTGCTCTGCCTCTGTGCCTCACTGCCACTGCTTTGAGAGCGGTGCGATGCCATGTGCATCCTGCTGCTGGGCAGCTCACCGCTGGGCTGCTGCCCGCCCAGCAACAGAACGTACATGGCCATCACACTGCTCTCAAAACAAGCAGCAGCAGCAAGGCATAAAGGGTCTGAATGGGGAAGGAGAGAAATGTGTCTCTGTACCCGCTTCCAGGACCAGGCCTGGGGTGGGTGGGCGAGGGGAGCGGTGCCCCTCTGTGGGCCGCACAACGCCACCCAGCCAGCTGGATACAGGGGGAGGAGGCAGCATCGGCCACATGCAGCAGTCACTGCTGCTGCCACCCATCACCCCGTGCTGCCACCTGTGCTCTGTGCCGCCAGTGCCACCACCACTGCCCAATGATAAGGCTGAAGTTGGTCCCTTTTTCCCAGTTCCTTATTCCTGGTTCCATATTCTTTATTCCCGGTTCCTTTTTCAAAGCTACTTTAGACCCAATAAAAACTTGTTATTAAGGAATTCCACATCCTAAAGAGAGAGAATTTCATTAGCTATGCATATGTACTAATTAATATGTAAAATAATATTCCATATCAAGTACAGAGCCCTAAATGAAGGTCAGATTAGGATGGGATTATGGGGCAAAATACTTCTTAGGCCACCCCGAATTGCATTGCGATGCCACTGGGGGACTGTCCCAAAGAACCCTGGCCACAGTCCCGCCTGGCCCAAAGCATGCTTTGGCTGTGCCAGGCTGCCAACGAACAGCCCCCATGCCCACTATATTAAGTATAATGGCTTGAATAAGGATCTGGCTTTCAGACTGGAATTATGGCTAGAAATTCTGCTTGGGCCACCCATCAGAATACCTCTATGCCACCGGGAGACTGTCCTGGACATCTCTGACCAGAGACTTGCCCGGCCCAAAACGCAGTTTAACCATGCCAGGCTGCCAACAGACCACCCCGAAGACACTGTGCTAAGTATCTGGACCCAAATATGGAACTGGATTTTGGGCTAGGATTATACCCAGAAATCCAGAAGTGGCTGGGGTGCTGTGTTTTGGCAGCCTGGTACGGCCAAACCGCACTTTGGGCTGGGCAGGTCTCTATTCAGAGATAGAGATCTGGGCCACCCCAGACCACACCGAGGTGTGGTCTGGGGTGGCCCAAGAAGGATTTCTGGGTAAAATCCCAGCCCATAATCCAGTTCTTTATTTGGTTCCAGATATTTATCACAGTAGCTGGGGGGTGGTGTCTGTTGGCAGCCTGGCACAGCTAAACCACGCTTTGGGCCAGGCAAGTCTCTGGGCCCAGATGTCCAGGACAGTCTCCTGGTGGCACAGAGGTATTTTGATGGGTGGCCTAAGCAGAATTTCTAGCCATAATCCCAGTCTGAAAGCCAGTTCCTTATTCAAGCCATTATACTTAGTATAGTGGGCATGGGGGCTGTTAGTTGGCAGCCTGGCACAGCCAAACGGGGCTTTGGGCCAGGTGGGACTGTGGTCAGGGTTCTTTGGGACAGTCCCCCAATGGCATCGCAATGAAATTTGGTGTGGCCCAAGTAGTATTTTGCCCTATAATCCCATCCTAATGTGACCTTCATTTAGGACTCTGTACTTGATCTGGAATATTATTTTACATATTAATTAGTACATATGCATAGCTAATGAAATTCTCTATTCTCTAATGGAGGTGCCATGATGTGCCACATGGAGCCAGAGCATCTGGCGCGCCCCTCCCCCTCCCCGGGGTAAGAGGCAAAGTGTAGAAATGCAGTGGGGGAAGATGCTGCCACTGCAACCTGGGGTGCACTCTGTCCCTGCCCACCCATGCATACCCCTATGACCTAAGCACCCCTTGGGGTATGTGTACCCCCAGCTGACAATCCCTCACTTTGTCTGGGGTACTGAGAAAATTAGGGTAGGACTGTCACAGTACCTGTGTGCTGCCTCTTTATGCGCTATTATTCATTTTTTTTCCTTATTCCTATCTGTGACCCATCCACACTCCAGCCCCTATATTCTCTTCTCTCTCTGTCATATACATACACATGCACACTCAGAGATGATCCTTTGTGCTCCCCATATCTCCCCCAGTATGCAGTTAGTTGTTGGAAGAGATAGTGGATGCTCCTTCAGGGTAGAAGACAGTAATAGAGGGCACTTCTAACCCACCAAAGGTGAGGGAGACTATGCCAGGTCTCCACGCTTAAGCATTCATTGGGTTTTAGTTCATTGATTTTGATCTAATCTCAACCCAAAAATAGAGACTTGATCCCCAACTAGATTTTTAGAAGGGGTTTTCTTGGGAAAGGAAGAGAGGGAAGCTGATTTGGGCCACAGTTGTGCATAAGATACAGGGGAAGGGGAGAGCCTGCAGTCAGACTCTTGTTCTTAATTCAGGCAATACTTACCCCTATTGTGTAATCTTACCGCACATCAATTTTCTGTCACCAATGCATAAATCACTTACCTTGGTAACAAACAAGATAAAATGAAAAACAATGGGGATGGAAAAATAGGTCACTTGCTACGTGATAATGGTAAACAGTCATAGAGAGAATCTCTTTCTTCTAATATTGAATGAGGAATGTTTAGAATAAGGGAAAAAATACTATTCCTAAAGCTGTTCTC